TTATTATAGAGATGGCCCAACTTTTGTGTTGAATCTCTTTTTATTTTACGCGGGAGAGAAATCACGATAAGACGTGATAAAATTTCACGAGCCTTCTTCTTTGATGTGACATGTTGTCGTTGAGTCGACCATAATTTGTTATGGAACTTTTTCCTTTTTTTTTCTCAGACATGGAGTAATGGACAGTATAGACACGTAATTGGGAGGCCAATGTTCAAAGGTGAAGATGAAGACTGCATTTCTATGGCTTTCCTCTATTCTCCTCCTAAAGTTACCAATTCTATCAAAGATGACAAAATCATATCACTTAGCCAACAAATCGTAATTGCTGTACTTTTTACTCTTCTTTACCAATTTTCGCTTCGAATTTATTATATGATGTTATAGAGAGTCGAAAAATTTCAAAAGTGATAATTAAAAAAGCGTATATCTTTAATTTTTGTTTCTCTTGTATTAGTGAATGCAGTTTTATTTCATAATTTACATGTTACTTTTTCTTACTTTGCTTTGAGATCGTAAATTCATATTGCAACACGAAATATTAAAAATATCAGTAGTTTGATATTGGTTCAAATCCAATTCACGAGGGAAATCCAAGTACAAAAATGAAAAAAGCAACATCGTTTTGAGTTACGGAGCTTCTTATGTTGAGTACAAATGGCTTAAAAGTAACAATGTAAAGATCGACCCATCGTGAAATATATCAATAGGATAGAAAATATCACTCCCACGTCTACCAATTCACACACAAATATCCCTCGATCATATTTAAGGACGAGCCAACTTCAGGGCTTGACGCAAGGGCAGCAACTATTGTGATAAGGTCACTAAGAAACACGATAGACGCTAGAATAACTCATCAGCATAACTATTAAGACTTGATGTTTTATTTTAAAATATCAACATTGTTAGAGTAGTGACTCAAGCCCTCGTATGTTGGTTAATATTCTTGTATTTATCCGTGAGAAATTATCCCTTAACATGTCCCTTCAAAATGGTGCCTCGTTGAGCATATTAATCTTGAAATTCGTGTATTCATTTTTTAGTCTTAGTTGGACGAGTTGCTCGTTGGAGTTTAAAGAGACATGATACCATATTAAAATTTAGGATTCCATCTTCAAAATGTTAACTTTGTTAAGAGGTGTAGTTCAAATCCTCATATGTTAGTTAATATTCTTATATTTATGAGAGGTAAGTTTTGTCTTTTAAGATAGTAGCGTCGATATCTTTAAATCCTTCGATGAGTTAATACATACACAAAAAATAAGAACCTATGTCCTGTCGGTAAAAATTCTCAGGACGTAGTCGGCTAATATATCTAGATAATCCCTGATTGAATCTCTTTTTATTTTATGCAAGATAAAATTGATGATAAGATGTGATATAATCGAACGAGGTTTCATTTCATAAAGTCGGAATGGAACATGTTCTTGTACTGCCCTATTCTTTTGAAATTTATTTTATTTTTTCTGGCATGAAATAATGGACAGTGTAGACGTGTAATAGGATGGTAGGTCTTCGAAGGTAAAGATGAATATGACAACCATTTCACTTGGCAAACAACCCATAATTTTTGTATGAATTACTCATTTCTTCCAATTCTCACTTTGAATTTATTATATATCGAGAGTCGAAATTTTCAAAAGTGATAATTAACAAAGTGCATAACTTTAATGTATATCTCTTTAGTGTGGTATATTTCACCCTTTACATTTTACATTTTCTCATGTGTTGAGATCCAAAAACGTGATGTCGGAGTCCGATATCAAGGATTCCTCGGACTCACCTTGAAAGTGATTAAAAGAGCTTAATTTTGAGGTACTATCACAATGTGAGGTCGAAACCATGGGATCCATCCAGCGAGAACAGCCATAGGTCGCAATTATCTGAAAACACCATCATGGATTCACTTAGCGAATGTTTCCGAGTGACGTAAGCGCTTCTACAATAGCCAATCATACGCAGGTTGGTGTCACATTTAGTGCCGTCATGCCCACCAATCAAAAGAAACAATGATTATCAAGACTATAGGTATTGATGATTTATATTGGTTCAAATCACCATATTATATCGGGAAATATTAAAAGGTTCAAATCCAATTCAATGCCAAATTTTGTACAAATAGGAAATGATTAAAAATTAGGAAAATAATAGCCCTAGAGATTAAATTTAAAAAAAAAAAAAGGGAAAATGTTTACAGTGTTATAAAATGAATAGAATAAGACAATAAGAAGAGAGATTCTAAAAGTCTGCAACAAACGAGCAAGGACAATAGTGGAACTGTGGAGGAATTAATTTAGGAAAAATTGTAGCAGCGGTCCCAAACCTTTGAGCTTTTAGCAGACTTTACTTTAATCTTCAATTTGTTCACTAATGATCCCAAACCTTTGAAAAATTAGCACCCGAGGTCCTTGACCAAGAAAATATCTTTCTACCAAATCTAAAACTGGCAAAATGGTAAATTCGTCATTATTCCACATAAAATAATTAAAACCCAAAAAAAAAAAAAGATTGAAAGGAAATTGGAAATGTTCATCCTCCTTACCCCACCCCACCAAACCCAAATCTCATCCCCTCCCAGCTCAACACAATCCAACCCTTAGAATGTGGCGGTAGCTGGAGAGCACAATTGCGTCCTCCATTAAGCCTAAAAGGCAACTGGCTTGTCCCAAAACCAAGTATTGAAAGGAAATTTTTTTGACAAAAGGGAATCAGTTCCAATTCGTTCCATGCTTCAACGGTCAAATTGTTTAAAATTCGAGAAGAAAAAAGTGTACCAATAGAAGTTGTGGTTTCGAGAAATTGTAATCAATTCAAATTGCAAACAGATTTTAACTTTTTATACATAATTTTTGGTTAACAGGAACAGAGCATGGCATCAAGGGTAGCCATTGCAACTGTCTTGGGCAGATGAGAAGCTTAATATGGCTTAGCAGTTGAAAAACTCTCTCTCTCTCTCATTTGGGGAGTGCTTGGGGATAACAGGTGTCAAGACGGACGAGCAGGCTAAACCCGTGAAAATCGGCTTGGATCGACCTGGGATCACGGGCCGACCCATGACCTGAGCGGGTGGTTCACGGGTCAAGGAGGTGTTACCCGCGGATTTCACGGATTGCACCTTCATAGGCCGCGGTTAACCCGCTGGCACGTGCAAAAAAAAAAATTAAAAAATTTGAAAAAAAAGTTGGGATGTACTTATGTTATAAATATGTGATGATAGTAATTAGAAATGCATTTGATTGTTATTTGTTTAAGTTAAATTTAAGTATTTAACTTTACAAAGTTATAAATAATTTAT